GGACCATGGTTGGCCCGGGTAACTGGAACCATAGAAAGTGAAACGTGGATAAAGGGGACTACTCTAGAACCGTCAGACTGATAGAAGTTGATGTGCTGATAGGTCACAGATTTATAACTTGCTGGAATACACACACATACACACCCAGTGATAAGATACACAGAACATAAAATTTACCATTTTAACCATTGTTAGGTGTACAGTTTTGTGGCATTGCGTACATTCGCATTGTTGTCCATCCATCACCACCATGATGACCTCCAGATCACCAGACCTCCAGAAAAATTTCATCTTCCCTCCTGAAACTCTGTACATGTGAAAGAAAAATTCCCCAGGCCGTTCTCCTGGAGCTTGTTCTACCTCCTGGCCTTGTGAATTAGACAACTCTTCGCTCCCAGCTGCTGTGTGTCCTTGGATGTAAAGTGAATCTCTCGTAGACAGCACATAGTTGTATCCTGGTTTGTTTTGGTTTATCCATTCTGCCAATCTGTGTCTTTTGATGGGGAATATATTAGTCAGCTAGAGCTGCCGTAAAAGAGTACCACAAATTGAGTGACTAAACCAACAGAAATGGATTGCCTCACCGTTCTGGAGGCTAGACGTTCAAGATGAAGGTGGTGGTGGGGCGGTTCTTCCGAGGGTCCTTTCCTTGACTTGTAGATGGCTGTGTTTTCCCTGTGTCTTTGCAAGGTCATCTCTCTGTGGGTGTCTGTGTCCTAATCCTCTACTTATGGGGTCACCACTCATACTGTAATAGGGCCACCCTAATGACCTTATTGTAACTTACCTCTTCAAAAACCCTCTCTCCAAATGCAGCCACATTCTTAAAGACTGGGGGTAGGGCTTCAACTTGTGAATTTTAAGGGGACACAATTCAGCCAAAACATGGAGCTGATTACACGTAAAGAAAGTACAGATTGAGGGATGCCTGGGTGGCTCAGTCAGTTAAGCATCCGACTTCGGCTCAGGTCATGATCTCATGGTTTGTGAGTTTGAGCCCCAGGTCAGGCTCTGTGATGACAGCTTGGAGCCTGGAGCCTGCTTCGGATTCTGTCTCTCTCTCTGTCTCTCTCTCTCTCTGCCCCTCCTTCGCTTGTGTTCTCTCTCTCTCTCTCTCAAAAATAAAAACAAAAGAAAGTACTAATTGGAAGGCGCTTATTTTGACCATTTTTATTTGTTTCCTGCATGCCTTACAGCCTTTTTTTGGTCCCTCATTTCTCCTATTACTGTCTTCCTTTGGTTTAGTTGATGTTTGGTAGTGACCTATTAGGATCCCAATCTCAGTTCCTGTTGTGCATATTCCATAGGTACTTTCTTTGAGGTTGCCATGAAGATTACACGTAAGATCCCAAAATTATGACAATCTTAGAATGATACCAACTTAACTTCAACCACATACAAAACTGTGTTCCTTCACTCTGCCCTCACCACCACTTCATGCTATTGATGTCACAGATTGTATCTCTATTTATTGTGTATCTATTAACACAGACTTGCAATATTTTTATGCTTTTGTTTTTTTTTTAATATGAAATTTATTGTCAAATTGGTTTCCATACAGCACCCAGTGCTCATCCCAGCAGGTGCCCTCCTCAGTGCCCATCACCCACCCTCCCCTCCCTCCTACCTCCCATCAACCCTCAGTTTATTCTCAGTCTTTAAGAGTCTCTTATGGTTGGCCTCCCTCCCTCTCTTTTTTTCCCCTTCCCCTCCCCCTGTGGTCTTCTGTTAGGTATGTTTTCACTCTCATGTGGAACCTGCTTTTGTCTTTTAAATCATGTAGAAAATTTTAAAAATGGAGTTTCAAACCAAAATTACATAATAGACTTTTTAAAAAAGATTTCTGTCTATAATTCCTTTTACAAGAGAACTTTTGTGTTTTCTTCTTGTTTTGAGTTATTGTCTAGTGCCCTTTCATTTCAATTTGAAGGACTCCATTTAATGTTTCTTATAGGGCCGATCTATTAGTAATGAATTCTCTCTGCTTTTTTAGTTTGCTTTTCTTTTGGTCTGTTTATGCCTTAATTTTCCCTTTATTGTGGGGGAAGGTTTTGCAGGATAGAGAATTTTCAGTTAACATGAGCTTTTCTTTCAGCCCTTAAATATTTCACGTAATGTCTTTTGTCCCACAGGGTTTCTGCTGAGAAGCCTGATGGTTTTATTGGGGATCTTATTTGTGATGGGGTGCTTTTCTCTTTCTGCTTTCAAGATTTGTTTTATTTTGTCTCTTGACAGTTTGAGTATGTGTCTCATTGTGGGTTGCATTGACTTTATCCTACTTGGAGTGTGTTTAGCTCCTTGGATTTGTATATTTGCATCTTTACTCAAATGTGAGAAGCATTCAGACATTATTCAAATTCTTGTTTAAGACAGTTGTGTTATAGTCTTCATCTGGTAAGCCTGATGCATGTGTTTCTTCAGGGAGTGTTTCTGGAGATTAATTTCATTCCTTTGAATTGGGCACATCTTTCTATTTTTGTATGACTTGTGATCTTTGTGAAAAAATGTTCACCTGAAATAAACAGTTTTCTCTCCCAGTTTTTGCAGAATGGTGTGGAAGACCTTTATAAATTAGTGGGCCCCTAGGGGCACCTGGGTGGCTCAGTCGGTTGAGTGTCCGACTTTGGCTCAGGTCATGATCTCGCGGTCCGTGAGTTTGAGCCCCGCATCAGGCTCTGTGCTGGCAGCTCAGAGCCTGGAGCCTGCTTCAGATTCTGTGTCCCCCTCTGTCTCTGACCCTCCCCCGTTCATGCTCTGTCTCTCTCTGTCAAAAATAAAATAAAAATTAAAAAAATTAAAAAATAAATAAAAATGAATAAATTAGTGGGCCCCTGAGCCATAGGATTAGCCTGGCACGAAGACTTGAGGTCTTCTCAGGTCTCTTCTGGGAATGTGTGCCGTCTGGGTCTGTGCGTATGCTTTTCCAGACCCCCATCCAGCTGCTTTGTGATATGTTACTACCGCAAAGAGCCTCACTCCAGCTCCTTCCCGGGATCTTAGATGTTCCGTTGTAACTTCTTGGCCCCAGATACCTGCATGGCTGCAGCCCTTCGCACTTCACAAATGCAGCAGTCCACCAGCGCCTTCGTGGCTTCTGGCTGCCTTTCCCCATATGAGCTCCAAGGCAGGCGAGACAAAAACCGGTCTCTCATGCAGCCCACAGGCCAGAATTTGAAACAAGCTTCTTTTTGCTACTCCACCCTCGCGAATGAGGTCAGGAACGAAGGTGCGAAGCAAGGCATGTTAAACCCTCAAGAATTCTCCTACCCTCATGGATGTGGCTTTTCCTCATTGGGCGTTGGCTTGACTGCTGTTGACTTCTGACTGGTATCCAGAGTTCCTACAAAGTTATTTTATTTCGTCTGTAGTTTTTGCTTGATGTTTCCATGGTGGGGTGAGGGCCTGCAACTTCCTGTTCCATCATCTTACTGATGCCACTGCCCTTCTTGCTGGATCATTTTTAAATGATAGTGAGAAAAACAAATACTTAAATACGAAAGAAGATTTCAGAGGTGAATCCATTTCTCACACCCCACTGCAAAATGAGTATTAGACGATTTAAAAATCTCAATGAAAACCTGTAAGAAATGAAGATTATTTTGGAATGATGAAGTGCTTCCTAAGAATAAATTTATTTAACATATTTTAGTAAGATTTGTACTTAATGAGGGATTACGTCCATATCCCAGTTTCATTCTAACTTAGCAATGAAAACAATCTTGCTGTGATTATTGTCATTTTTTATGCACAGTTTTAATACTATTCTTAAGAATTTCAGTATCTAACTAGATATATTTTTTCTCATGGAATCACTTAAAATATATTGGAGAAAAAGTATATAAATCTATTATATATAGTTAATATTTTATATGTATTATAAATATATAAATATGATCTGAACATACATATTATAGATATAGATAGGTAATGAAACAATCTATTTAAATGGGTTTAAGCTGTAGGAAACACGAGTTACCCAACAGGATGTTAAGGTAGGGTAGGTTCCTGAGTTGGCAAATTTTCTGTCTCAACTATGATATCCAGGGTCCAGGTACTTGGTATATATATTTTCTCCTCCATTTATGATATACCCTCCATTCTTGGAACATAGCAATATGGCACCAACAATTCCACATTCGAAATCCAGACACAGAAAGATCCAGAATAAAAACAGAGATGGTCTTTGTTGGCTCACTGGAATGTCTTCCCAGTGGCACAGCTCCAGACTTTCCCTCATGTCTCACTACACAGAATTGAGTCCCAAGCCCCCTGTTGAGCAAATTTCTGGAAAGAAAGAAGGAATTGCCTCGGCTGGATTAGACAACTTAGATAGGGTGGGGTGGGTGTTGGAGTGGCAGCTACTCTATCCAATAAGCAAGTGCGTCCTTTAAAAACTATTATGTGATTGTACAGCATCCCAGTAGGAGGAAGGCTCCTCATGGAACACATTCAGAAAATACATCAGCATGTTTGTAAAAGAAGAATGATACTCGTTTTTTTTAGTCCAATGATAAACATGTTCAATGTTTAAACATAATAGGTAATTTTATTTAAATTATGTCTCGTCTGGGCATTAACAAATAATTAGTGTCTTCACTTCATCTGTGGAGAGTGGATGAAGGCTTTCTTCTATATAAACTTCTATATAAAATGGCATTTTACCATTCTGTTCTTTTTGTCCCATCATGCTATTAGTTGTGACCTATTGTAAAGTTGAACATAAGGAGAAAATGTATTTCTTAAAATTAAATTTTGACCACGTCAATAGAAGAAGGGCTCAGACTAAAGAATGTTGGCATCCTTTCACTGGATAAGAAGTCTTTATTTTTCAGACATAAGAATAAAGATGTATTTTAATATATCTAACATGTCTTAATTCTAAAATAAATCGCATTTTTAAAGTCATGGTCTAAGAACCAAGCCTGCCTAACGTAAATTTATTCTCTGAGGATTTCCCCAACAGCTAACCAAATTTACAAGAATGTTTCTCTCTATTATAGTGAGTCAAGGAGGCGTTGCGTTGGTCTCTGACATGTGTCCAGATCCCGGGATTCCGGAAAATGGAAGAAGAGCAGGTTCCGACTTCAGGTAAGAGATACAGAAGTTATTTGAAAAGCATGTGATTTTCTAAAATATATGTAATTTCAACTTGTTGTCCTTAACTCTGATGTCCTTTTGATTTAAAGATACAACTTCTCAATTATTACGGGGCTCCTATATGTAAGGCATACTGTGTAAAAATCTAAGACAGACTGTGTTTAAAACTTCCACGTGGTGTAGAGTTGATGCCTTTCACTATATGAGCAAGTATTAAATATTTAACCCTAAATGAATATAATCAAAATTTGTCTCAAGGGTTTTTTTTTTTCCGGTTTTTCATTAATTACCATCTCCTATTCTAATGCATTTTGGTTAATGTTTAAAAAAATACATGGGGCAAAAATTTAACTATAGCCTCATAATTATTTCATTCAATTTTTAGAATAATGAATGAATGTAAGTGGCAGTCAATGCAATTTATTTCAAAAAATGTTATGATTCACTTTACTAGGATCGTGATGAGCTAGAGACTACTTTCCAGTTGTGACATTATTAATGTAGTGGTGATTGTAATAGTGTATTATAATTATAATGCCATTTATATTTATAATGATTACAATATCATTTCTTTGCATTTTGGAATTCCTTTCCATTAGTTCCAGAAATGTTTGCCAGTTTACAAGATGGATACACATACTGGGAGTAAGCTTCAAAATAAAGAATAAAGGGGGTTGGGAAAAGTGCTTTCCTCCCTTAAAATGTCACCATTTTTGACAGGGAAACAATAAAGATACGTGTAGAGAGCTTGGGCTACCACAGTAAGAGGAAACTGAAACAGAGTCGTTGTGCCACTAGAGAAGGAAGAAGGAATATTCCTCAGTGAAGCTGGAGTAGCAATGGCCATTTGGGGAAATTTTATTTAATTTTAATTATTTACTGATGTATAGTTAACAAGAGTGTTGTATTAGTTTCAAGTGTGCAGTATACTAGTTCACTGATGTTACACATTTCTCAGTACTCCTCAAGATGAGTGGATTCTTGACCCCTTTGTCTGTCTCACCCCTCACTCCCCCGCCTCCGGTCTGGTAACCAACAGCTCTCTCGGTTTCTAAGAGTCTCTTTTTTTGTCTCTCTGTTTCTTTCGTTTCCTAAATTCCACATATGAGTGAAAAAGACAAGTAGCGATAGTAATTTTGAAAAGGTTAGAGAAAGAATAAAATTGTCTACAGGCTGGCTGTAATAAAGTTGGTATAATTATAGACACATATACTGTTTTTTCCATGAAAAGGAAACAAAGAAAATACACACGATAACAAAATGCGTTTGACTTCCTAGCGGTGTCCGCCTTGTTTGAAGTGGGTGGGAGATCATGTGGTTTACAGGTTAAAGATACAAAGTTTAAGTGTAGCTAGGGGAGCTGGTGTTTCAGTTCAAGTTCCTTTGAAGCAGAGCCTGAGACAGGATTCTTCTTCAAGTGATTTTTTTGTTTGTTTGTTTGGAAAAGCGCTCTTTGGAGAAGGGCAGTGGGGGGCACAAAGGGGGCAGAGTGAAAAGCTAAGACGCAGGCTGGTTCTCGCTGCTGAGGAGCTTCAGTCCGAACCCACAGGGACTCTCAGGGGACGGGTCACATCGACCAGCTGGCTCCCCCTCCGGTACCCACCCTCCCTGGCTGCCCATTATTGGCTTCCTTCGTTTGGCTCAAGGAAGTTCTCCAGAGCACGGCTTGGTTGTGGGTATTTGTGAGCGCTCTCAGTGGGTTCTCTGGCAGAGACAGGTGCAGGCTTCCACCAGCAGATAAAATAGCAGTCAGCCGAAGGCACCAGGAATTTTGTCTTTTGCAAAGCAAGCAGATACACGAAATGTACACATTCTTGCTGGAATCCGTAGAGCTTTTTATGTTTTGAATTCCTTCCTTATCTCAAAAGTGACCTCCTCCACTTGCCCCTTCCCCATTTCACCCTGGAAAAAATGTTCTCCTTGCCTCACTCCCAGAGAACTGTACACACAGCTCGCCCACGATTCTTCTTCATTATTGTTCATGTGTCCGTTTTCCCCATCCAGCTCACGCTTCTCCAGTGCAGGGATGGTGTTTTATTCACTCCGCCTTCCTCAGTGACTGAAATGGTGCCTGGCCCACGGGCACTCGCGGTATTATTCAAGTGCCCCTTGCGTGTGAGGGAGATTGTCCATCCAGCACTCTGTCATCCCTGAAAATCTTTGCAGGGATCTGGGAACTTCCTTGGTCTGTTTTGGAATAGCTCTGTTTTAAAACATGATGAGTTAAATGCTGTCTGACAATGCCAGGTTCAAATTGTATGCTATGGTAAAAGGAACTAGAGAAACTTCTTTTCTTTTTTAATTTTTTTAAAATTTTTATTTATTTTTGAGACAGAGAGAGACAGAACATGAGCAGGGGAGGGGCAGAGAGAGAGGGAGACACAGGATCCGAAGCAGGCTCCAGGCTCTGAGCCGTCAGCACAGAGCCCGACGTGAGGCTCGAACTCACAAACTGTGAGATCGTGACTTGAGCCGAAGTCGGACGCTCAACCGACTGAGCCACCCAGGCGCCCCAGAGAAACTTCTTAATCTCCAAAAGTTGACAAGGAGCTCAGAGACATCCAGGGCCAGTATCGGTTCAGCACAAGCCCAGCAATGGAGCATTTTATGAGCATCGTAGATGAATGTGCTGGTATTTACTCTGCTCATTCTTACAACAGCCTTATTTCTGAAGAAGAGGTTCAACGTTGGGGTAAACATTAGCCCCTGGGGTTATGTGTGTCTTGGGGACAACCAGTGAAGGAAGGAAAGGGGTTCCCGTATCTCAGATGAGACATTCACGCTTTCAAATCCTGAGTTTCCTGGGGAATCTCTATATTGTTTCCATGTCTCCAAGTTCATGGCAATTGAGTAATATAACAGCAGAGAAAGAGATAGGAAAGAGTAAATTTCCTATAGGACTGAATACAAATGTAAATATTTTTGCCATCTATGGACGTGTGTGTGTGTGTGTGTGTGTGTGTGTGCGCGCGCACGCAAAACTGTGATAGTCCAGCGGCCTCTGGGTGGCTCAGTCAGTTAAGGGTCCGACTTCGGCTCAGGTCAGGATCTCACGGTCCGTGAGTTCGAGCCCCGCGTCGGGCTCTGTGCTGACAGCTCAAAGCCTGGAGCCTGTTTCAGATTCTGTGTCTCCCTCTCTCTGCCCCTCCCCCGCTCGTGCTCTGCCTCTCTCTGTCTCAAAAATAAATAAACTTTAAAAAAAATTAAAAAAACTGTGATAATCCAGTTATAGTAGCTTTTTCTACACTTCAGAGGACTAGGTCTCTAGATGATGCTCGCAACTACAAATAAACAGTTTTCTGTTTTTCTTTCTAATGTGAATGAATTTTGTTTCTTTTCCTTGCCTGAAAGAACTGGCCAGGACCTATCTTATGAGGTTGAATACAAATGGTAAGCCTTTCCTGCTTCATTCAGTTTTTAATGTTTTATTTATTTTTAGTAATCTCTACCCCCATCATGGGGCTCCAACTCATGACCTTGAGATCAAGAGTCACATGCTCTGCCCCAGCCAGGCATCCTCATTCTTGCTTTATTCTTGATCTTTGGTGGAAGGCATTCTGGTTTTCATCATTGAGTGATACTAGCTGTAGGGTTTTTATAGATTATTTTTATCATGCTGAAAAAGCGTCCTTCTATTTGTAGTTTGTTGTAGGTTCTTATCATGAATGGATATAGATTTTCTGAAAAGCTTTTTCTAGATCTATTGAGATGATCTTTTCTGTTTAGTTTTTAATATGATTAATTACATTGACTGATTTTTCTTGCATTCTGGGATAAATTAATTTGGTCGTGATGTATCATCCTTTTTATATACTGTTGGCTTTGATTTGCTAATTTTGTTTTAGATTTTTGCATGTATGCTCATGAGAGATATTAGCCTATGGTCTTTTCTTGTAATTTCTTGATTTTGCTATCAGAGTAATGCTGGTCTCATCAAATTAGTTAGGGAATATTCTGTGCTCTGGAACATCCTGAAAGAATTTGTGTAGAGTTGATAACATTTCTTTCTTCAGTTTTTGAGAGATTTATCAGTGAAGCCATCTGGAGGTGCAATTTTCTAACAAAAAGTTTTTAAATTACAGTTCAACTTTTTTTCTACATACAAACCTGTTCAGGTTCTTACCCTGCTTAAGTAAGTATTAGCTTTGATAGTTTGCATCTTTCAACGTATTTTTCAGATTTTTATCCAGGTTGTCAAATTTATTTTCATAAAGTTATTCATAATATTTTCTCATTGTCCTTTAAATGAGTAGTGGTGGCAGAATTGCAATTCCTGACCTTGGCAATTTGTGTTTTCTATTTTACCAGACCCACTTGACTCGTGATATGTCAGTGTTATTGATCTTGTCAAAAAAAAAATCTACATTTGGTGTCACTGATGTTTCTCTATTGGTTTTGTTTCATATTCCATTGAATTCTGCTCTGGTCTTTTATTATTTTCATTCTTCTGATTACAGTGGGATGTATATGCTCTTCATTGTGAAGTTTCTTAAGATTGAAGCTGTGATTTAAGATTCCTTTTTCTTTTCTAATGTGGGTGTTCAGTGCTTTAAATTCTACTCCAAGAATGGATTTACCTGTATCTTGTATAAACAGCATGTTTTCCTTTTCATGCAGTTCAGAATACTTCCTGTTTTCCCTTGTGATTACTTGTGCAATCCATGGCTTATATAAAAGTGTTCTATTTAGTCTCCAAATATCTAGGGATTTCCCCAGGTTCTTTGTGGTCAGAGAACATACTTTGTATGACTTAAATCCTTTTAAATCGACCAAGAATTGTTTTCTGTCCTAGAGTATGCTCCATCTTGGTAAGCATTTTATGTGCACTGGAAAGAGTGTATGTTCTGCCATAGTAGGGTGAAATGTTCCCTGAAGGTCTGTTAGATCAAGTTGGATGACAGCATTGGTCAAGTCTTTTGTATCCTCACTGACTTTCTGGCCACTTGTTCTGTTGTTGAGAGAAATAGTTTGAAATCTCCTGCTATGATTGT